AAGTCTCCTGCCTCTGCCTCCCAAGTAGCTGGGACCACAGGCGCCGCCACAACACCTGGCTATTTTTTGGTTGCAGCCATTATTGTTTGGCGGCCTGGGCTGGATTTGAACCTGCCATCTTAGGTGTATGTGGCTGGCACCTTAGCCAGTTGAGCCACAGGCGCCGAGCCTTGCTGTGTGGCTTTCGTCAGGGAGCTCATCATTTTGGAATCTCAGACACCCATTTGTTAAAGACCAACAATTCAGTGGCTGTCATGAGATTTAAATTAGATTCTGAACATGGTCCTTGCCACAGCATCAGGCACAAACAGGTCTTCAAACCATTATGTGTTTCAGCTGTCTGCGTCATGAGTGAGGAGCAGTGAACACAGAGCGAGGGCAGACCCGGGGCTGCGGCGGGCACAGGAGACTTATTCTCCTGAGACTCAGGCGGAGTCCTAGGGCAGGGGCTACGCCCTTGCAATGCCAATGCCAATGGTAAAAGGGACCTGTGGGCAAAAAAGAATGGGCCCGAGGGTACTGGTCTGACCTACCAAGAAGAGTCTGATGAAAAACCTAGAAAGCAAACCCAGGGTGGAGTCACACTGTGGTCACTTTGTTTTCACTAGTCACCAAATGTTCTGTGACTTAAGAGAGGGAACATATGTCTGGATTTGAGATGCATCACCTATGTCTTACTGACCATCAACTGAGAAACATCTTCTGGTTTCAAGGGCCCCTCATACCCCCATCCAGTGACTCCCATCTCCAAGGGCTCCATGTCAGTCTTGTTGTTTCTGCTTGGGGGGGTGGGGTTGGGTGGAGCTTGGTCCAAATGCATGGCCAGGACAGAGCCAAGGTTTAGTGCTCTCCAGTCATCTGAGGTTTGTCCCCAGAGCTAAATATTTACATCAGCTACAACTCTGGTCAGAAGAAATGCAGATAGGAGAGGCTGAGAAAGAGAAGACCAAGGAGGATTCTCACCTGGGCAGGTGTTCTTGTTGCAGGCAATGGAACAGGCTTCTAGCACCTTCTCAGCCCTCCAACCATCTGTGCCTTTGGAACGGAGATCCACAAGGATCAAGTGGTTGTCAGAACCCCCTGGAAACAAAGTTGAACACACAGATGCAGACAGTTGACCACGTGCTGGGTGAAGTAAGCTCTCTCTTTCTAGGAAATGAGGGTTGGGGTGTGGGAGGCCAGGCAGGAAGGTGCACACCCCACCATGTGGCCTAGAATTTTAATCACGCATGACAAAGAAGATGCCCCAGCCTAAGAATCGGAAAGAAAGGACATAGCACTATAAAAAGGGGTAATTGGGAAGGGATGTGATACTGATGGGTAACATCCAGCAGCTTTTGTGGCACAGCAACTCCTTTCCTTGACAGCGTAACAGGTGCTAACACGGGCCTGAAGCTTCTCTGGGTAAGGGACAGCTTGCTCAGGCCACTCATGGCTTCTGTTTTCTCTGAAAAGTTCCCTGGGAATTTCCCAAGTGTCTGGCATTGATCTTAAAGGCTCCCTGGAAGGTAGCATCAGAGTAGTGGGTAGTGGCTCAATTTTCTGTATCGGTGGGGTTATGAGCACACTCACCATGCACACCTTAGGTGCCAGACACTGTGTTAGCCTGTCATGTATTTTATGCTGAGTCCTGTGAGGCTGACAGTAACATCAACGTGGGAAGATGAGATAGGGAGGCTGACAAAGCTTTCTGGACCTGGCCCAAGTTCCCACAGGAGTCTTTAGAGCCCCTGGATCTTTACTCTTTGAAACTTCATTCAAAGTTGACTAGGGTGACAGCGGTGTCCTCACCTCTGCCACTGAGCTTGCTGCAGAGATGAGTTCAAGATGCAGGTGAACTAGGTCGCCATGTGGGTTTGGAGCCCACAGCTGACTCCACTTAATTTGCTGTGTGGCTTTCTTTTTTTTTTTTGAGATAGAGCCTCAAGCTGTCCCCCCGGAGTAGAGTGCTGTGGCATCACAGCTCACAGCAACCTCCAACTCCT